TATGAAGAGGAATGTGGCATCAGGATTGGAGGAAGACTCATCAACAACCTGCATTACGCAGATGACACAACCTTGCTTGCTGAAACTAAGGAGGACCTGAAACACTAGCTGCAGAAGGTCAAGGACTGTAGCCTTCAGTATGAATTGCATCTCAACATCAAAAAAACACAAATTCTAACTACTGGGTCAGTTGGCAGCATCATGGTCGACAGTGAAGAGATTCAGATTGTTAATAGCTTTAGTTTGCTTGGCTTCACAACCAACCATCTTGGTATCAGAAGCCAGGAAATAAAAAAAGAAATTATGTTGAGAAAGTCTATGATCATGGACATATCCAGAGTACTGAATAGCAACAATGTCACTCTGGAGACTAAGGTACACTTACCTGATCCAGGCCATGATCTTTGTAATTATATGCTATGCATCAAAGAGCTGAACAATGACTAGGGATGACAGAAGGAGAAATGATGCCTTCGAGCTGTGGTGCTGAAGAAGAGTACTGAATATACCATGGGCTGTTAGAAGAACAAACTGGTCTGTCCTCGAAAGGTTGAAGCCAGGCTGCTCCTTGTAGGCAAGGATTCTGAGGCTTCATTTGCCATACTTTGGGTGTGTTGCAAGGAGGGACCAGTCCTTGGAGAGGGACATGCTTGGGAGGGTGGAGAGACAGCAAAAGAGAGAAAGACACTCGATGAGATGATTAACTCAGTGATTGAGGTAATGGGGGTAGGTGTGTCAGAGACAATAAGGTTGGCACAGGATAGAGCAGAGTTCAGAGCTGTTGTACATAGGGTCATTATGAGTTGCAGGCAACTTGACCACACATAACAACAACTTCTAGTAGGTAGAACCCAAATCTTGCTCTCATCTTAGACTCTCATACAATGAAGGAATATAAACAAGACATCAACAACCCCAGTCACAGAACAGAAAGTGAAAATAAACATGCTTCAATCCCTTTCTACTGAAGTTCCTGTCTGTGCATAGAACACATTTTACAGAGGACACTTCTGTATAGAAGAGCTATAACCATGATGAAAATAGGGGTATTGTATACTTTTAAAAGTTCTTGGATGGCTCCAACAGATAAGTACTCAAGGACTAATAAAAATTTGGTGGTTCATACCTACTCAAAGACATTTTGAAGCTAGGCCTAGTGATCAGCTTCTAAAAGGTCCTAACTTGGAAACCCTTCGAAGAGTTCTCTGTATGAGTTTTGGTTTGATTTTATTTGGTTGTGGGGGGTTTCCCCCCCCTTTCATTCAGGATTTTGCCCATAGAATTTTTCAGTATTATAACTCGAGGCCTGAATTTGTTGTTCAATTCTTTCAGCTTGAGAAAGGCTGAGTGAATTTTCCCTTTTTAGTCTCTGACTCCAGCTCTTTGCACATTTCGTTACAATACTCTGCTTTGTCTTCATGAGCTGCCCTTTGAAATCTTCTCTTCAACTCTTTAATTTCCTTATTCCTTCCCTTTGTTTTGGCTTCTTGTCATTCTAATGCAGTATTCAGAATCTCTTCTGACACCCATTTTGGTCTTTTCTTCCATTTCTGTTTTTGTCATTTTCTTTTTTGGCTTTTTTCACGGATAAAAGGTATCTTTGATTCCACACAGCTCATCTGGTTTTCATTCATTCGTGTTCAGTGTCTCAAACCTGTTCTCGAGATGTTTTTTAAATTCAGGCTTGATGGGCTCAAAGTCGTATTTTGGTTATTGTGGATTTGTTTTCATTTTCTTTAGCTTCAATTTGAGCTTGCACATGAATAGTTAAGGATCTGTTTCACAGTCAGCACCTGGCTTGGTTTTCACAGCTGATATTGAGCTTCTCCAATGATTCTTTCCAAAGATCTAGTCAATCTGATTCCTGTGTGGTGCATCAGGTAACGTCCATGTGTATAGTAACTGTTTGTGGTTTTTTTACAGAAGGTATTTGCAACAAATAAGTCATTGATTTTACAAAATCTATCATTCTATTGTTACGCTTCATTTCTATCACAAAATCTGTAATTTGCAACTTTTGCATTCCAGTTTCCAATTATTAATTATCTTAATTGCATTTTTAGCCAATTTCAGACTGTAAACATTGATAGAAATCTCCAGTTTCCTCTTCTTTGACTTTAATTGTTGGTGTTTATATTTAAACAATGGGCTGAATTAACAGGTCATCTTCTTATGTGTGTGATAGTATCGTATCACTCACAGCCTGGTATTTCAGGATGGTTCTAGAAATGGTCTTTTTTCCTGTGAAATGTAACCCCATTTTCTCTCATATTTTTCATTTCTGGCATACAATATCATTTGATTGTCTGATTCAATGGCAATGTCAGTCCATCTCAGCTAGCTAATTTCTAGTTATGCATTCCATTTCACTTTTTATACTGTCCAGTTTTACTACATTCATACTTTCTATTAGTGGATATTTGCAACTGTTCCTTCTCATTTTTAGTGGCTTTTTTATGAGGACTTGGCCTCCAGTGCTCTATCTAATGAATCAAAAGAAACTAAAAGGCACACATGGACTCACTGTATTAAAAAGAATTAGCCAGCACACTACCATTTCAGGAAATAGCGTATGATAAAGAACCAGTGGTAAGAAAGGAAGAAGTTCAAGCTGCTCTGAAGGCATTGGCAAAATATAATAAGTCTCCAGGAATAGATGGAATACCAATTATCATATTTTAGCAAATAAATAGAGCCCTGGACATGCTCACCAGGTTGTGCCAAGAAATTTGGAGGACAACTATCTTGCTAGCTGACTGGATGAGATCTATATTTAGTCCTATTCCCCAAAACAGTGATCTAACAGAATGTGGAAAATATTGAACAATATTGTTAATATCACATACAAGCAAAATCTTGCTGAAAATTATCCAAAAGCAACTGTCCATTGACAGAGAACTGCCAGATACAAGCTGGGTTTAGAAGAGAACTGAGGCACTAGGAATATCACTGCTGATGTCAGATGGATCTTGGCTGAAAGGAGAGAGTACGAGAAGAATATCTATTTGTGTCTTATTGACTATGCAAAGGCATTTAACTGTGGATCACAACAAATTACAGCTAACATTGAGAAGAATGGGAATCCTAGAACACTTGTGTTCATGCAAAATCCATACCTACACCTAGAAGCTGTTGTTTGAACAGAGCAAAGGAGCACTTCGTGACTCAAAAATTAAGAATGGTGTTTATTAAGTATGTGTCTTTTCTCCATACTTTTTCAATCTATATGCTGAACATATCATTCAAGAAGCTGGACTTTATGGAGTAGAATGTGGCATCAGGATTGGAGAAAGACTCATCAACAACCTGTGCTATGCAGATGATACAGCCTTACCTGCCAAATGTGAGGAGGACTTGAAGTACTTTCTGCAAAAGATCAAGGACTACAGACTTTAGTACGAATTACAGACTTCAATATGAATTTCAACATCAAGGAAACAAAAATCCTTACTACCTGGCCAATAGGCAACATAGTGATAAATGGAGTAAAAGTTGAAGATGTTAATGATTTTATCTTACTTTGATCCTCAGTCAACACCCTTGGCACCAGCAGTCAGGAAACCTAAAGAAAAGTTGCATTGAAAAAATCTATTGTGAAGGACCTCTCCAGAGTGTTAATGAAATGTCAGTCTGAAGACTAAGAGCTTGCTAAGCATCTGAAAGCTGAATAGTGACCAAGGATGATAGAAGAATCGATGCTTTTGACTTATAATGTTGGAGAAGAGTATTGAACATACTGTGAATGTCTAAGAGAACAAACAGGTCTTTCCTAGAAAATGTTAAACCAGGGAGCTCCTCGGAAACAAGGATGGTAACACTTTCTCACCTACTTTGGGCATATTGTTAGGAGGGGCCAGTTCTTGGAGAAGGGCATCATGCTTGGAAGGGTAGAAGGCCAATCCAGGACAAGAAGACCCTCAATGAGATGGATTGACACAGTGACTGTGACAGTGGGATTAGATGTGTCGGAGATTGTGAGGTTGGCTCAGCATACGGCCAGGTTCAGAGCCATTTTTCATAGGATCGCTGTGAGTCATAGGTGACTTGACAACACCTAACAACAACAGTCTGTATATCGTGTCGCCATGGGTCAGAATCTACTTGAGGCAACTGGTTTGGTTTCTGGAGGGGTTTCTGTTAATTCCTAGTATTTTACAGAAATTGTTTATTTTTAAGGTAATTTTTTTTCTTATAATTCCCTTTCCCTTCAATCAACTTACCTGTTTCTTCATTTTTGCTCCCTTCTTCCTTCCTTATCACCTCTGTTAACCTCCTAGATTGATTTTTCTCTGTATGTAAATATATTTACCATAACTTTAGTTAATTTACATTTTTAGTTAACTTAAATTTAGTGCTTTTAGTAGACAGTAACTATTTTAGTTTATGAATATGTTATGGTATATTCAGATAAAACTAAGATAATCAGTGAGACCAGCCCTGGAGGCAGACTGACTACATCCTTTAAGTGTGGTCCAGTGGCCGAGGAGGTCAGGCCAACCAGCACCAGGTAACAGTGATTCAGAGGAAAGCCCCAGCCAGTCAGAATGAGAAATGTGGTCTGTTGACCTAGGAAGAAAATGACATTGAGTCTAACTGTATGTAATTGTCTTGTCTTTTTTAAAAAAGGAAATGGGACTGTTTGCATATTATGTCAGTCAGAAAATTTAGGAAAGGAGATAGTTTGCCGTATTTGTGATGGAGCCAACACCTGTGGTATAGTTGTTCTTGGCCTACCCTTAGAATGGGGCCAGGGTCTTCTCCAATAATTACCAAGAGCTCCAATCTTTTGCTTCTTCCTGTTTTTAGCCTAAAGATTTTTATGACTTTTTTAAGTGTGAGGCAAAATGTATCTTTTTACTGCTGAGATATTTGCTAATTTTCATCTTTGTGTCTAGCTTCCAGTTCCTGTTAAATTTGATGCTTTTACTCTCCAAAATCTGGAGCCTCAGACGATTTACTGTGTTCGAGCACAAGGATTTCTTGCTGATCGGGGGAAAGGTGGAGAATGGAGTCAGCCTGTCTGTGAGGAAACAACCCAGGATGGTGAGCAGGGAGAGACATAACTATATCTAAACCTTCTCTGATAGTTTTGTAGACATTTTATAAACTTTGTTTGATTTAAAGACTCTTAGCCATCATCATGTGCAACTCAAAATCCAACTTAAGGTCTCTTGTCTGATGACCCTATACACAGTGACTGATACTGCTAACTCAAAAGTTATGTATCTCCTATGGGTGGTATCCCCAGCAGCTCTGCAGGAGAAAGATGAGCTCTCTCCTCTTGTGATTTACGGTCTCAGAAACCAATGGAGGGTCACTGTGAGTTAGACTGCACTCAGCAGTAGTCAGTCAATCAGTCAGTCAGTTGCCATTGCCACTGAGTCAGCTGTGGCTCCTGGTAACCGTATGGACAACAGAATAAAGCATTTATTACATCCTATGCTGTTTAAAATAAGATAACACAGGCAAGGATGATGAAACGTCATCTCACATACTTTGGGCATGTTATCAGGAAAGGCTAGTCCTTGGTAGAAGACATCATACTGGGAAAAGTAGACTATCTGGAAAAAGAGGAAGCCCTTCAATGAAATGAACTGACACAGTGACTGTCACATTGGGCTTGAGCATGTCGGAGATCTTGAGGATGGGGCGGGATAGGACAGGGTTCCAGTACGTTGTTCTTAGGGTAGCTTTATATTGACGTACACATAATGACACTTTAACAACAGCAGTGCTGTCTCTATGATATTTCATATTTGAGCCAATGTACAGGGAGGCTAATGTGTGAATTCAATTCATTGAGGGTTTTCACTGACTCTCTGTTTTACCAAAAATAATGTCCTTTTGTAGCAATTGATCTTCCTTGATGACATGTCAAAAGTTCTGTGGAGCAGTGCAGTTGTATTTTTTTCCTAAGACATACAAATGGATGAATGAGTAGAATTCTAGAAGTTCTTCAAGAGCTAGGATGTCAGATCCCAAGTTGACTATACATCATTAGCCAAGGAGAGCATGTTACTGGGGAGGGACTGTCCCTTGAAAAAGGCGTACTTAGGCATGTAGAAGGTCAGCAGGAAGAGAAAGATCCTCCACATGATGAATTGACACAGTGACTGGAGCAATGGGCTTACGCACAGCAGAGATTATAAAGATGGTGCCAGGTTAGGCAGAGATTTGCTGGGTCAGAACTGACTTGATAGCATCTAACAACAAAGCCGAGGGATCATGCTGCAGCTCATCCAGTCCATGATCTTCACCAGGAAGAAACACGTGTTTGAACTGAAAATGCTGGAAAAGTGGGCTAGAAGGCACCACCCCTTGAATCTAACAACAGCTCTAGAATTCATTAGGGAATTTGGATGAAGAGTTGCTCTAAACCTACAAAGATGCAAGCTGGAAAGGTGAAGTTACTGCCAACATGGATTAAAACACAGAGGGTCAAGAGCTAAGGGGAAATAGGCAAAGATGAGGGATGTTCCTCACTGCCCCACCTGCCAAACAAGCACCACATCCATCCATCACTGACCCTCTGAGAAAATGACACCCCTTTCTTGTGATTGGCCTTTCTTGAAGATGTATCCAAAATAAGCATGGTGAAGTCTCATCATCCTGGCTGTATTTCTTATGATTCTTCTGGTATTTGAAACACCAGTAATACCAGTGGCATAGCTTTGAACATTGTAGCAACACGCACTCCACCATATTACAGCACACTGACAGATGAGTAGTGGCGGCACACAGCAGGCCACTGCTGTTGAGGAGTTCTAACTCATAGTGACCCTGCAGGACAAGGTAGAACTGCTCCAGAGCATTTCTGAGGCCATAAATCTTTATTGGCACAGACTGCCTCAGTTTTTCCCCAGCAGACAACCTCATTTTTTTTCCAGCTGATAGCCTCAGTTTTTCCCCGAGGAGCAGCTAGCCCATTGAAATTGTTGACTTTCTGGTTAGTAGTCCAAAGTGCAGACTACAGCACGTCCAGGGATCCAGGATGCAGTAGTGATTGCTGTTAGGTGCCGTCGAGTCAAGTAAGCCTCACAGCAACCCTATGAACAACAGACCTGAACCCTGTCCTGTCCTGTGCCATCCTCATCATCCCTGACACACGTGAGCCCATTGCCACAGCCACTGTGTTACTCGATCTTATTGAGGGTCTTCCTGTCTTTCACTTACTCTCCACCTTTCCAAACACAGTATCTCTTAGAAGAGTAGACCAGTGAAAAAGAGGAAGATCCACAAGATGGCTTGATGCCGTGACTGGAACAGTGGGCTTAAGCACAGCAGAGATGATAAAGATGACGCAAGTCTGAGCAAGGTATCTAGACTACTAAATGAGGGAATCAGTCCGTCTTGCCACACTGCTGGGCTTAAATTGAGTTTGGAGACAGAAAATGGGGATTTTACTACCAACAAGAAAAAAAAAGCAGAAAATGCAGCTTGCATCCTTCAAGGCCGTAAAGATTCATGTGTGAGTCAGAGCCAGACTGAGCTAGAGACACTGCAGCAGCAGAGAGAACCAGAGACAGGTAAGAACAGACTGGAGAGTGCTACCCCACAAAGCCAGAGCCAAGGGGCCTTCACCTGAGATTGCTCGTGGGTTGGAGGACAGGGACATGCCATAATTGACAGGACCAGGAGCTCTAGTGGGTAAGAAATTACACTGCCAACCCAAAGGCAGGTGGTTTGAATCTACCAGCTGCTCTGAAGGACGGTGGACAGTCTCCTTTTGTGCGATTTATGACTTCTGAAAATCTGCTGGGAGGTCAGCTGTGAGTTGGTTCCAACTCAATGGCACATAACAACAGTAACGACTAGACAGCTTTGTAACACTTAACCTAAAGCTATAAGACTGAAGGTGAAAGGACTTTTGAGCACACTTGAGAAGTTGTCCTGACTGTAAAACTGTGTTCCGTTTCCAGCCAGAATTGTAACCCATTAGCTTCCCTATTAAAGCCCCTTACTAGGGGTATGCTTCTTTGACTTCTGTGTTGCCATTGCAGCAGATCACCACACTCAGTGGTAGAGCAGTGAGAGCTAGAAACGGTAAAAGTACGTGCAGGAGCAAGGGGATATATGTGGCTTCATAGGAATCAGTTTTGTGTTGTGGTTGTTGTTAATGAAGATTTTCTCCCTCATGGATTTAATGGATGAGGCCTCAAAGAAGGTTGCCCCTCCACTGCCCACACTTTTTTACACAATCTTTCTCTTGTAAAGTGGCTGGTGGATTTAACTACTAGAGAAGTAGTTGTCAAATGTCTATGGACTCCACCAGCTGGGCTCCCTTCTACCGCAAACAATTCCTTTAAAAAATTACTTACTGTGGCCAGTGTTTATAGCAAATTCACTATAGTTAAAAGGTGGAAATGCCCTGAGTGTCCATCAACAAATGAATGAATAAACAAATTGTAATATGTCCCTATACCCGGCTGGGAAGAGGAGCAGAACGGCCAGATTCTGCAAAGGTGTATTTTCTGGGGTTGAGACTGGGATGTGGCTGTTCATGGCATTAGGGCTTTTGAGCCCTCAGGCCTAGTTTTTTGTGGATCTCTCGAATTAAACAGGCTTGGTAGCAGGAGTGCCATCCACTTCCAGAAAAGCTTGCCTCCGGAAACTCTATGAACTTGGAGAAAAGAAGAAAGTTTTCTATTCAAGACTTTCATTCATATGGGCGCTATGTGTCATCTACAACTCTAGACTCTACGGCACTTAACAACAACAGTGAGATATTACTCATTCATAAAGAGAAAGAAAAGCACATAATAGAACATGGATGAGTCTTAAGAACATCATGAAAGAAATACATTAGACTTGTTATTTTTAAGTGTCATGGTGTCAACTCTGGTAGTGATCCTATGTCCAACAAATTGAAACCTTGCCTGGTCTGACGCTGTCCTCATAGTCTCTGTTTTGCTTAAGCCCATTGTTACATTCATTGTGTCAACAATATTCTGTTATTCCGTTTGCATGAACTATCCAATCAAATTCATAGAGACAAAGTAGATTAGCTGTTAATAGAGATTAGGGGAAAGACATGGGGATTTAATGAATGCAGCTTCTCTTTGGGATGATGAAAAGGTTTTGGAAATTTATGATGGTGATGATAGTGAATGTACTCAGTGACATCAAATTGTATATGTGAAATTGCAAATATTTATATGTATTTTATATATATTTTACCACAATGAAATAGAGAGTGAGAGAAACTTGCTAATTAAAAGGCACAGTTAATTTTCTGGGCCTCTCTCAGCACCAAGTGCTTTGGGATTTGTCACGATAGTGGAGGTGGTTGGAAGGGACTGGTGTAGGGAAGGGTAAGTTGCCTATGCATAAGGGGACGGGCTCTGTGCTGATTGAAGGGAGCTAGGACCACAATGAGACCAGGAGCCACACCTTGGATATGGAACACTACGGTGAATATGTTTAATGTTGTGGGCCCCAGGGAGTTTCATCAATCTCCAGACTGAAGAGGTTTATCCAGAGCAAAGAGGCTGTGGCTACACCGAGTAGGCAAAGTGGATCAGATTTCTTGCATATTATTCTTCTGTAATTTATTAGTAATAAAGCCAGAAATCAAGCTTTGACAAAAATGTTAGTAATAGCTCCGCATCCTTGAACCAGCTGCTTCCTTTTGAATGGGCATATGGGTAATCCAGTGACTACCATTGGAATTATAATGGTTAAAACAGTGTCACAGACATTGCAGTTGAGCCTGTATGTAACAAGAATGGCCCTCTCGGTTAACTGCCCTGTTATCTCTGGCAGAAACTATCTCCGCCTGGATTATTGCTGTTATCCTCATAGCCTCAGTTCTCGTGGTCTCCCTCCTGCTCGTCGGCTGCTTTGTCTTGATGTGTTACATTTACAAGAAGACAAAGTACACCTTTGCCCCTGGGAATTCTCTTCCACAGCACCTGAAAGAGGTAGGTAATGTATAGCAAGATGGAAATTAGAAAACCCTGATGGGAAAGCGCTTTCTTTTACGTCAAGGCTGGCTAAGTGCTCATTTCCCTGGAGAACAACGTATTGCGCTCCGGTTTCTGTCCTGGGATGATGTGCTGCCTCAGGGAAGCCTGAGATCAAGAGCAGCCTTAAGAGAGGAGACAGAGATTTGTTTCAGAACACTCTCTGCCACCTGGACAGAGTCCTTCTCTTGCCTTCCCTGCCCAAAGCACCTAGACCCCAGGTACAAAGGTTATAACAGAACAGCGGAAAGAGGGGGCAGGAAAACAGAGCTCCAGGGGGAAGAGATGACAAAGGAAAAACATCAGGCTTATTGCCAACTAAAAGGATGAGGAAAGGCATATTCAGGTCCCTGTAGCCCTCTGCCCAATTGTGATGGGTAAATGGACATGTATAGCAGCATCCCTGAGGGAGTGAGATGGCTAGAAGCCCCGACCTCTCAGGTACAAGGGTCCTGCCATCAATACAGTAAGAAGATTATATCAATAAAAGCTATGAAGAGGAGAAAGGGGACTCCAGAAGGGATAACAGAGGAGAGAACGCCCCTGAGTGTTGGCTTGAGCCAGCTATTGTGATGGGAGCTAGTGTTTGTTCCTCTCTCTTTCCTCATGGACAGAGGAGTCCAGTGAATACCTCAGTGACTGAATGGCACTCTGCCTATGTCTCCACCTGATGGTCAGGTCAGTGGCCTCAGCCACTGTGATAATCCTTGCCTTGCCTTTTAGTTTCTTGGCACAGAGAGTCTCCAAGTAAGTGGTAGAAGTCACGGTTTAAGTTTAATGGGCTTCTTACTGTGCCACTTGGTGAGAATACATCCCCTCCACACTCCTCTAGATATGTGGTCTGTACATATTTTCCTAAAAGGCCAGATGCGACGTATTTTAGACTTTGCAAACTAAAAGAAATTTGGGTGAATACTTCCATAATCATTTAAAATATACCTATTTAAAAGTCGAGTCATTATTCTTAACTTCGTTCATATAAAAACAGGCAGTGGGCTTGATTAGCCCATAGGTTTACCAACTCTTTTTCTAGAATTTTCTTCTTGTTGTGTATCGTTGAGTCAGAACCGATACATAGCTGACCCTCCAGTGAGTTTTCAGATGCAGTAAATTGCACAGGAGGAGATTGTCCTTCCTTCTCCCACAGAGCATTTGGTGTATTCAAACCACATTCCTTTGCATTGGCAATGCACTTCCTCCCCACTAAGCCACCAGAGCTCAATCACCAGATTAGTGGTAACTTCCTTATCAGTAAGCCATCATAGCTCAACAAGTGTTCTAGAATCTTAGAGCCTAAAATTGCGTAGACAGGAAGCACAAATTACCAACTGGGGTATTTAATAATAAGCAAGGCCACTCCTACCTGTTGGTGCTTGAACCCATGTATTCAACCTATTGATAATAGAGGTTATTGATTTGAGTGCACGTCAGGTGCTAGAGGACAGCATCCTAAATTCACAAGGGAAGCCAGCACCCCACCTGCCCTTTCAACAGACTATTCCATTGCCCCATTAGAGTGACAGCTGCTGGTTGGGGCAGTGATATAATTAGTGGCTGCTGTGGGCAGGCACCTACTCCTAACCTCCTTTACTGCCATAGGTCACTTGATGTGACGTGGTATTATGTGGGGCCCCATGCCAGTGGAGACCTCAACAGTGCTGGGCAAGGCCTTGCATGGCAAGAATCAATACTGTGATGTTAACGTCAGTCAAGATAAGTTACAGTCCCTTCCAGGGTTCAAGAGGTCCATCGGAACCAGCTTGCTTCTGGGTAGCTAAAAAGATTTCTTGGGGAGTGGTGCCATATCGCGGGGCCTCAGTATTGCTCTCTGTTGCAGCAGCAGCAGCACCATCAGCCTTGGTGGGGGAGGCCTTGCTGTTGGACCATGCATAGCCTCCATCCCTGCCACACAGCTACGCTGTTCTTGTACCCATCGGACCATGCAGGGGTGACCAGTGATAGAAGCTAGCTAACATCATCAACAGGCTAAGTTATCTTGGCAATTTCCTTCCTCTTCTGGGTGCATCATTTCAGGTGGGGGTTATGAAGTGATACACAGATCTTTGCTCTTCAGGCTCTTTCCATAGATCTAGCCACAGGCTTCATCTCTAAAATTCTTAGTCCTCAGTAATCTGGTCTTTCTTCTTCTTGGCTCCTGACCAGCCAGCCAAGCCATTAACCCTGCCCATGATTCCATCATTAGCCTTATCTTACCGCAGCCTTCCAGGGCCACCCTTGGCTGGGCTGTTGTGCAACAGCAGACTATTTTTGGGTTGTACCCACATGTAATGCCAACCTCCATGTGAACCAAATTTGATCTTTACCTTCTTCTTCTGCCAGTAATAAGTGGGCCCCCTTCCCCAACTATGTGGTCATAGATGTGACAAAGGAAGAGATATTGGTGGAGCAGTAGTGAATGAGATGAGGTTATGCACCACCTGACTGTGCCCTCTGCCCCCTCTTGGTACTCATTCAGTCGGCCTCGTGGTGGGAACTTTTGGTGACATGGTCACTTGGCATCCCATCGTCACACATCCTGTATCTACCAAGTCTCTGAAGAACTCCAGACACTAGTTTCAAATGGTATATAATTTGCCACTGCACAGGACCCGGCCCCAGAACTCTAGGGGGTCCTCACAGATATTCTCATTCTGGAGCTTGCAGTCAGTTAACAAGGACCACCCCTCTATGTTGCAGAGTAGAACTGTTCCATAGGACTTTCTTGGTTATAATCTTTAGAGAAGCAGATAACCAAGCTCTTCTCTGGCACCAGCTTTCTCTTCTCAAACCACCAACCTTTCAGTCAGTAGTCAAGTGCAGATTGTTTCTACCACCCATACACCTTGCATTAATTCCACCCAGGATCTTTTCCCACCTTCGGTCATTCACAGACTGACCTGCCATGTCACACAAGCTGCTTCACATTCATCAGGTTTTATTATTCTCTTGCCAGTGACAGATAATACCAGGCCTTTGTACATCCATCAGCCAGGCCTGGGGGCAGCAACCACTTGGACCGTAGCACATCTGATGCCGGCCCTTTTCGTCTCTGAGCCCTGCTCAGAGCTGGCACTTTCCCCAGTCACATGATAAACATGTTGAAGAGGTGTTCCTAAATATGAAATAAGCTCTCTGCCCAAAGGAACCTAAAAGCATGGTGCATACTTCTTACTTATGGGAGGAGCCAGATACGATCATGTGTCCCTTACTTTGGAGTAGATATCCCAACGTGCCCTACACTACAGGATCCCTATTGAGTTTCGCCCCATGGAGCCATAGGGGGTCATGTGTTAGGCTGCTAACCTGAAGACTGGTAGTTCAAACCCACCAGCTGCTCTGTGGGAGAAAGATGAGGCTGTCCCCTCCCATTAAGATTTACATCTTTGGGAAAATTATTAGATTTTTTTGTCATGACGGGAGTCCAGAGCAAAGGCTGTATAGTGGAGTGGACCTGGGGGGAGGGATTGTAAAACAATGAAAGAATTTTTCTTTTACTTTTCCAAGAGGGTAGTGTACTAGAAGCGGGGAGGGTTGGGGAGGGAGAAAAGTGCAACAATGAATAAATGGAAATCCAAAGTCTCTGTAAATTTTCATTGAAACCAATAATAAGTTTTTTAAAAAAGAAAACTATTTACATCTTTGGGAGCCTAAAGGAAGGTCACCTTGAGTCAGAATCAACTGGACAGTAGTGTGTTGTTGTTGTTATTGTTGATTGCCGTCAAATCGATGACCACTCATCTCGACTATAAACAAAAGACCTGAAGCTTTTCTATAACTATCATTGTTTCTCCAAGTTCATAGAGTTTCCATAGGCATATGGTTTAGGAAGTGGATGCCACTCCTGCTTCCAAACCTATCTTAAACTGGGAGCTCCAGCAAACACGGTCCACCATGGATAACCATTACGGCGTTTGACACAAGGCTCAGCATCACAGCAAACCCAGGTTACCTCCATAAGAGAAACTAACAGAGAGTGCTGTATGATTTAGAAGTATGTTCCTCCAAAATACAACACCAACCCAATTTCAAAAGTAAGGCACTCCCTGAAGACCTTCAGTCCACAGTCCATCATAAGGACAGCAGTAGGTTTTTAATTTCTTCAAGTGCATGTGTGTTACCAAGGACCCAACTGGCTTGCTACTTCTTGCTCTTCTTGCCCTATTAGCATATTATTCTTGATAATGAGTAGTCCCGGAGTGAGGCAAAATGAGTCTCTGAGTATCACAATTAAGTGCTTAACTGTTAACTCAGAAATTAATAATTTGAACCCACCCAGAAGTACCTCGAAAGGAAGGTCTAGTGATGTGCTTCTGAGAGATCCCAGCTATCCAAATCTCATGGAGCAGTTCTGTTCCAGCACTGGCATGATTTAGAACCAACTCAAAGGCAGCTGGTTTCATTCGATATTTAAGTCAGGACTTTGTCCCCACAAGGTCCACTCAGTTGATACAGGCTGCCCCAGCAGAGCACTTGGCCTTGGCCCGGAGGCTTCCTCTGTGGAAGTTAGTGCCTGGGTTTGGCTGAGTCTCTCCAGCTGCGGGTATTCCCAGGAGCTGGAGAAATGCATGTCTCTACCATCTGGGTAGCACATTTTAAGGACAGAAAGTAGGTACACAGCTGAACAAATGTTTCAGAGTTTCTAGCACCTTCTGCTAAACAGAGTGCCAATGAGACTGCAGCTTTAGAGTGAGCTGAAGTGAGTTTTTGAGGAGGCACATTTGCAGCAGGAAGAACAAGGTTGGGGTTGACCCTTTGTTTAGGTTACTGTTTTATTAACTGAAAACCAAGAGGAAAAAAACCCCACCTCTGCTTTTGCTTTTCGCTTTGCCTTCAAAGCATTTGATCAGGACAGAGCAGAGGAAACCAGTGCACTTCCTGGCAGATCAGAGCCAAACATGAGTTACAGCAGAGGGACTCCTTGGAAGGAGCTTTCCCTCCAAGGCCAGAAGATGAGATGCAAATGGGGTTGGGAGAGGCTGGAAAAGTTCCTGGAGTCAGGGCTCAGGACTCCTGGGGACACTGCAGAGCCGTTCTGGCCCTAACGTAGGAAAACTCTCCAAGTTTGTCTCAGAATGTCTAGGATCTTCTAACCATGACCTGAAGAATCACTTTTAGTTTAAGCAAAGTTTGTGAAGATGGAAACATTCAGTTGAAAAGGCCATGAAAAGTTTCTCTGGCGTTGCTACATTGAACTGGCTAGGTTGGCTACCAGGGAGCATTGAGAGAGAGAGAGAGAGAGAGAGAGAGAGTGTGTGTGTGTGTGTGTGTGTGTGTGTGTGTGTGTGTGTGTTCCCCAGGGAGCCGTAATGCTAACCCAAACACTGTGCCACTCTGGGAGCTCAGAGCCACGAGCAGCTCATCAGGAGAAAGTGGAGCAGTCTCCTCCTGTGCATGTCACAGCCTCACAAAACCCACAGTAGGGTTCAGGGAGCTTTGGTGGCCTAGTGGAAAGGAGCTGCGCTACCAAACCAAAGACACATGGTTTGAATCCACCAACTGCTCTGTGGGAGAAAGATAGTCAGTCTCCTCCTACGCAATTGACTGCCTCTGAAAACCCACTTGAGGGTCAGCTAAGAGTCGGACCTGACTCAATGGTACACAACAAACAAATCAGTTGGTTCAAATTCAACGACAATGACCAGTATACTTCTCCCAGAGTGTCTATCTTTATCCTTTTCTCAGTGAATATCACTGAATCCAAGTATCTTGGGGGAGCACATTTTCCCACCTCCCCCAACTTCCTTATTTCCCAGCCAACCACCAGCTTCTCTGTGTGTGTCCAGCCAGGACACTTGACCTATTACTTGCATCCTGAGACTTCAGTGCTTCCTCCTTTGTCCTCCTCTCTTCTCCCCCTTTCCCAGGAGAGTCAAGGATCATTTCTAGCCCATTAGCCCAATCTAAGGAATTCATTGACTTTGAGGATTTGGAAAGGCTCCCCCGTCCCTGGCTCTCTCCTTTGACTAGGAGAGGTCTGACGTCACCCACGTGCCCCTCCTTCACCCTTCCCTTGGCTGTTGAAGACCAGGAGGTGCAATCCTGAGGGCTCTGCACCAGTTTGCAGTGCAGGTGCCTCTACCTTAATTCAGTCGAACCAAGTCTTATCAGATGGCTGAGTGTGGCAACTGAGAGGAGAGCAGATGAATTAGTCGAACGTGGAGGCATGTTTTGTACAGAGTGGCAAAAAGCAAGCAGTCAGTAGCCAAGAAGGAAGGGGTTAGAAATGCAAAGCTTTAGAGAATGCTTCTCTACCTAATCCTGAGGAGTGAAAGTGCATCTAGAAGAACAGAAAATGTTAAACCAACAGACACTTCTGGAAACATTTATGGGCATCATCATTGTTTGAAAACTTGGAGAGAGAAAAATGTCTATCAACAGATAAAATATGATATATACCTGTGTCTTAATTGTCTAGTACTGCTTACCAGAGACACCATACATGAATGGCTTTCACAAACAAAAATGTAGTCTCGTATAGTTTGGGAGGCTCTAAGTCCAAATTCAGGGTGCCAGCTCTAAGGGAAAGCCTCCTCTCCATGTGTTCTGGACGAAAACCCTTGTTCCCGTTAGCATCTGTAGATCAGGCATTCCGTGGAGATCTCCTTGTGTTTTGGCCTTTCCCCAGCAAGGAACTTTCCAGTATGAGGCATGCATGGAGCTGAGTCCAAGAGGATGCGATGTGCTCCACTCCTGTCAATCCTTTCTTGGAGGAACTAAGGTCCCTTCCTCCCCTCTGGTTTCCTCCCCTTTTATCTAGTGAGATAGTGATACAGGCCTCGTCCTAGGGGAACTCCCTCTACATCTGCTACAATGGTGAGAATGGTTGCACAACTTGAATGCATTCAGTGTCACTTCTTTACACATGTAGAAGATATTATCAAACTGGTGTATGTTTTCCTGTGTCTATTTTCACCATCATTAAAACAATCATAAATGTTAGAGATAAAGATGACTGAAATACGGTCCCTGCCCTAAAAATAGCCTCCTCAGGAAAGACAGACTGTGAAGAGTTCGTGTCTGTCAAGTGTTCAAAGGTAGCACCTCTCACAAGAAACACTGCTAGCTCTGTATAGCTGATCTTGCATGTTTGCAGATTTACCTTCAAGCTAAAGTTAATGCCAGCCCCCAAATCTGTACTTGTGGTACTTTCTTGGTCCTTTGGGAGCATGTGGATGGCAGAAAATTTGAGTCACCCCGTGTGCTTATTCCAGCTAAGGTGACACTCTGCCTTCTTGTTCCAGCCTTTGTGCTGTGAACAAGTGTCCTTCTCACCGTCTGTGTAGATCTACATTTTGTGCTTTTTGTTGGTGGTTTTGCATTTAAACTCACTCCAAGGGTAGAGCTGAGCGCTTTCTGGTGTACTAAACATACAAAAGCTGTGGTGTACCTTCCAGAGGAAAGACGTGTGTTGGCTAAGCTTTGTTCAGACGTAAGGTATACAGGGCAATTGATCATGAGTTCAGTGCTCACAATCAATAATATAGAGTAAGTCATGTGTCTTTAAATAGAAGCACACATAAAACGAAGTCATGTATTGGTTTAGTGATGGAAGTGTGGCAATAAAGCTTACAGAAACTTCCCTTCAGAGTAAAGGTTCTGTCTTCATTCCTTCAGTGTTTCCAGAAGCTTTCTAGGACATGGCTGCCACAAATAACAAGAACCATCTGTATGCTTTAAATTTGCTAATATTTTCAAACAAGTAAAAAGAAATAAATGAAATTGGTATTTTATGTAATCCAAAAATTACCTCTTCAACACGTAGTTAATATTTTTAGAAATAATCAAGATATTGACTTTGGGTTTTCATCCAGCATTTTGGAAATCTGAATACATTTCTCACCTGAAGCACATCTCAGTCAACATGAGCCCCGTGCTGGCAGCCACTGTGCTGGGCGTCTCTATGCAGAGGATGGGGGTCCAGGCCGCAGAGAGAGCCATCACCTGCCTGCAGACAAGACTCATTCCTGACCCCAAGCACACTTAGTGTGCCTGCAGCATCCCCACTTCCTCCAGAAAGTGTCAGCCTGGACGGGGTCTGCCCCCAGGCACTAATCAGGCCAAAACTCTCCTTCTCAATGAAAAGAGGAACCACCAGACTTACTTAGTAAACAAGGGGCAGACTTGTTGTATTTATTGCATTGTTGAAACAGTGCTTTATACCCTGTAAGAAATCCTTGTGAATCCATAAACAAGAGTGGGGAACATTGGACCATTAACTTTGCCTGTTCTTTTCTCCCACAGTTTTTGAACTCACCACATCACAGCACCCAGTTGTTTTACTCCCTCCCACCCTCTGATGAGAATGAAGTGTTTGACAAACTAAGTGTCATTACAGAAGACTTAGAGAACAGCCAACAGAGTGCTGGCCACAGCGGTAGCCTCAGGAGCTCATCTGAGCGGGGATTCCTAGAGCCCGTCTCTGAGAAGAAGACACAGTGCAGTGGGCACAGCCAGCTCCTGGTTTGCTCATCTGCCTCTGAGGACAACCAGAGCCCCACCGAGCCGAGGCCCCCTGAGCAAACCCCAACTCTAGAACCCATGAACACTGGACTTATCTAGACAGCCAAAGAACCATATGTCAAAGGTTCATTTGACAAAAAAACTCCATCTTGGGTTTGCTGATTTACAAAGGATTTACTAATTTAAAAGAAGACGGGAAAATTGACAACTGAGGGAATTATTTTCAGTCTCTTGTGCTTTGCATGGCCAAACAGTTAAACAGTACTAACTGAAAGGTTGTCGATTCAGGCCTGCTCAGAGGCACCGTGGAAGAGAGGCCTGACCATTTGCTTTTCAAAAATCAGCCTTTGAAAACCCTGCAGATTCCAGTACTCCAATACGCATGGGATCTCCATTAATCAAAATCAACTTGACAGCAAATGGTTCTGGTCTGCTTACTGAAATAAGGAGCACATTTTAATTATGATAAAACCAATATTTAACCTAGATACTACACACTCCTTCTAGCCTCTTGATAGACTTATCTGAATAACAATTTCAACTCAAGTGGTCAGCAAAACATACAAATGCCAACGTTTTTTATTCTCAGGGAGAGTTTATTTTTCTACTTGTATTTGTTTTATGTCTTTGCTGGTGCTCTGTTAAATGTTTACACTATTTAATCTATATGTGTTAATAAAACTCTTGTTGCTGTTGTTGTTGTATGTGCTGTTAAGTCAGAATCAACTCATAACTGACTCTCCAGGGAGTTTTCCAGGGCTGTAAATAGTGACACTAGATTTAGGTTGAGCTCTGGAGACTTAGTAATGAGGAATTGTGCTGCCAACCCAAAAGTATGAAGTTCAAATCCATCAGCTGCTCTGCGGGAGAAAGATGGACAACCTCCTCCCATGCGATTTCTAGCCTCTGAAAACTCGCTGGAGAGGCAGCTAGGAGTTGGATCCGAGTCAGCAGCGCACGAGAGAATGTGGGTAATTGTCAAAATTCAAGTAGGCTCTGCATTTTTTGGTGCTCATTCTTTCATCAGATACTTCCTAATACCTGCCACTTTGTTAGGTACGGGGTCCTAAAGTCCTCTGGGAGCTCTCAGACTAGCCAATTGGAAGTAATAAAGTCTCTGGGCTTTGAATTCCAACCTCTCATCTGTATGTAGAGATGAGAGGACCTAAGAATGAATGATACTACGTTTTTAAAATGCCTGCCACTTGAATCCTCCAAATGCTCTGCTGGAGAAGGAGGGACAATCTCCTCCTGTGCCAGTCGGACCTGATTCGACAGTATACAACAAGGGGGGGGGGGGAAATTGCCTGCCACAGTGTCTGGCACATAGTAATCACTCAGTGACAACACAATCTCGTGGGGATTGAATACTACAGACTTCGGTCAGCAAGAAATGTCCCTGCCTCTGTGTCCCATTGCTCAGGAAAAGTTCAGCCAAAGCCCCTAGTCTAAGAAAACCAACTTTTAAAATTGATTGATGTTTTAAAAAATGATACATTCTAGGTGAAGGTAATCAGAGCTTTGCTTGTCTTCCTTATGCTCACTTCCAGTTCAATATTTTCAGTTTCTTTTCAACAGCATACTGCAAGGGAGTGAGCACCGTATTTCAGTATCACCTCCAAAAATGTGGAAACACAGCCCAGGAAACCACACAGAGTGCATTCTGTGTGCCAAGTCGCCACCATGATAACAGTCAACTCAGTGGCAACTGGTTTGGTATTTCTCTGGTTGTTCCCCAGTTAGGCCATTCCTTCCTGGATTTGGAGTTGACAGGAGAGCTAGCTGTCTTAAGTACTACAGTACATGGCTGTAACTGATTTGAAAAAGATGAAAAAAAGCTGTTATAAATTGCATGTTGTCACTCACCCATAATATATACTGAAATCTTAACCCTTGCATCTGTGGATTTGGTTATCTGTTTGAGATTGGGATTTTCTTCATTTAAGTACAAACTGTATCCTAAACCTGAGCACTCCTGAATTATAGATTAGGCACACAACAGGGGAAAATAGATGCTACTTGAGAGTCCCTTGCAAGACAAGGAAACAAAGAATTGCCTGGAGTTATCTGTGTAGTCCAGTAGGTTGCTTTTTATGGCCTTTCTGGTCCTGAGATTGTGATTCTCCCACAATGATTGATCAGGCCACAATCTTGTAAGTGGTTGGTCCGTTTATTTCCACATAAGCAGCAGCTTGTGAGTGATTGCTTGGGGTTTTATTTGCAGGTGATTGGTCGGTTTACTAGGCACATGAGCGGCTTGCAGGTGATTGGTCGGTTTACCATCTATCCTCTAGTTGACTTTTCCTGGGATTGACTGGGGCCTGTATCCAGTCTGACCTTTATTCAGATTGATTAGGGAGCCCAGATGGTAGTTAGCATGAGCTAGACTATCAAATCCCTATAGAGCCCCAGATGGGGCTTCCTGATAGAGGAGAGTGTGGTGTTTGAAGGCCTGACTCTTCTCTACAAACTTCCCAGATGAGTAAACCTGCAGCAGCATCAGAAGAGGAGACGACAACCAATAGGCCCAGCCATTGGCAGCAGAGTTTATGGCACACTGGCCCAGTGCTGAGAAAAGTGACCGATAGCTGAGCCAACCAAGTGACATCATTGTGTTTTTTGCTGGACAATTTCTGTTCTATAGAATAGAATGAACATTGGTTTCAAGAAGGGTAAGCAAGTCTCTCTTCAGATGTGGAGACTCCATGCTGGAGCCTCTCTTGAACCTTTGCTTACCTTCATTTCTATTGAAATCCTTTATCTCCTCTCTGTCATTAAAGTTATTGCAGTTACACTGTTTCCATGAGTTTTCTGTGACTCCATGGATTGTTGAACCCTGTAGCTAGAGAAAGCATGTCATGGGGTGGGGAGTGGAGGGAGATGGCTAGTGTCAGAAGTGGTGGAGAGATTGAAGAATGGGGTGTATTTGACCTCTGCCTCATAGGAACTAGCTCGGTGCTGATTCTTAACAGTCCTTAGAATCAGTGAGGAAGGACGTTAATACGGCTGCTAACCAAAACAGCAAGGGTTTAAACCCACCAGTGGTTCCATGGGAGAAAGGTGATGCAATCTCCTTCCATTACAGTGCACAGCCTCAGAAAGGTCCATAAATGAAAATCGACTCGATGACAGTGCATTTGGCTTGGAGTCCTGCTGCAAGGTATGTTAACCAAAAGGTCAGTTGTTCAAATCTACCAGCTGCTCTCTGGAAGACAGGCAGTCTGCATCTGTTAATATTGAGAGCCTCAGAAACCCGATGGAGGCTCCCATGAGTCAGAATTAATAGCACTGAGTGTTTTGGTTTGGTACCAAGAAAGCACTTGGTCCCCAGCTGTAGGTGTCTTCAGGAGCTTGTGATCAATGGCTAACCTAACGGTCAGGATTTGAACTCATGATGGAGTAAAGGCGTGGTGATCTGCTTCCATGAAGGTAATGCTGAGAAAACCAGCTGGAGCTGTTCTTCTCTGTCACACGAGGTCTCTATGGGTGAGTTCTGACTCAACAAAAAATGGTCTGGTTTTTCTGTCTTCTAATGAAAAAGCAACGCAACATTTGCTTTCCTAATCTCAGACATCTGCAGTATCAAACCAAGGACTTGGGTTCTGTGAGTGCCTCAAGTAGAGGGAAGCCCTGATCACCCCATTCGCAGCAACCTCGGAGGGAGCAAGTCAAGAAAGTGAAAAGGTGTGTGACTCCTTCATGCTGCCAGGCCCAAGCAGGAGGCCTGGAGTCCAAGGCACCAGTGGATTTGCACAAGAGTGTTTCAGTGGCTTCCAGATGTGGCTGAAGATTGGAGGGCCATCTGCTTACCTTTATGTGCCAGGCAGCCCCTCAAGTACTAGAGACCCCAGGAAAATAGACTGTGGTAATTTAGTGGTAGAATTCTCACCCTCCAGGCAAGAGACTTAGGTTCAATTTCTAACCAAGGTTCCTGATAAACAGTCATTCTCTGCCTGTCAGTGGAGGCTTGTATGTCACTATGGTGCTGAACAGATTTCAGAGGAGCATCTAGACAGAGAGTAGGAAGAAAGGCCAGGCAATATACTGCCAAGAATCAACAGCAACAATTTTGCTGTTGAGTCGAAACCAACTCAAAGCTGACCCTCCAGTGAGTTTTCAGAGGCTGTAAATCATGTGGGAGTGGTAGACTGTCCATCTTTCTCTTGCAGAGCAGATGGTGGATTCGAAACACTTGCCTTTGGGCTAGCAGCATAAGACATTACACGCTAGGCCACCAGCACTCCTCTTCAATCCCGTGGATCACAGTGGCCCCATCCACAGCTGAGAAAATGGCACAGGACCAGGGGACACTTGGTTCTGTTCTGCAGGCAATCATGAACAGCCCAGAGCAGCTTAGTTCACAATATTTGAGAAGAGAACCAACACCTAACCCACAAAACAAAAACACTGACTTTTTTTGCAGGAGGGACCCAAATTCTGACTTCATTTGACTTAAAGTGATGTGGCTCAAGCTTGGAGGAGAAATTCACAACCGTTACACCCATTATAGTATTTTTACACAAAAATGTGTGTCATAGATTTCTTTCCAAGCATGTTCTCTCTCCACCCTAAATGATTTTCTAAGTGTACGTTTTTAATAGCAATGTGTGAGAGAAAAAGCATAATGTGCTTATGAAAATACCTCACAGAGGAGGACCTGGCTGCTAAATTTCAACTCATAGCTGACCTTCCCATTGATTTTCTGAAGCTAGAAATCACTTCAGAAGAAAGTCCATCTTTCTCCCACAGAGTCACTAGTGAATTAAAACTGCCAGAGATATACTTCCTTTGAGTTAGCAGTGAAACTTGCCACAGGCTGGACCACCAGAGCTCCATTTTTTAAAAAAATATGTAACATGATTATTATTTGCATAAAATGTGACACGTGTGCCTTTGAGATTGCAGCACAGCTTCTTGCCACTAGGCCACCAGGGCTCCCTAATAACAATAACTCCTATCATCTATTGAGGTCCCATGTTAGGCCTCAGGTACTGTGTCAGGGACATTTTCAATAGCATCTTTAATCCTAATAGTAAATCAAAGAGAATTCTGGTGGCCTAGTGGTAAGAAGCTGTACTACCAACCCAAAGGCCCATGGT